GGCCGGGTTCCAGCGCGCGGGCCCCGCCGGTGGACAGGCCCGGCGATCTGGGCTCCGGGCTCCGGGCGGCGGCCTCCCGAACGGACAGGGAGCGGGCGGCGCGAAATGAGCGTCGGGAAGGGAGCGCCGGGCGGCGAGAAGGTCGCCGGCCGCCTCGGGGTGGGAATGAAGCGGAAGGCGGAAGGAGAGGGGCGGGGTGAGGCTGAAGGGACGCGCCTCGAGCCCGTCAGCCGAGAGCGGCTCGTTGGTCTAGGGGTATGATTCTCGCTTCGGGTGCGAGAGGTCCCGGGTTCAAATCCCGGACGAGCCCAGGCTCTTAATTTTTCTTTAAATCTGTAAGTTAAAAGCTTTTTTTCTTTTTCACTCAGGCCATTTAGCGGTTTATATTCAACAACTCCAGCCCAGAGCTCGAACGTTGATCACCGTAATCTTGCGAAGCAGGGCATCGAAGGAGGTCGATTCGTACAAAAATATATGATTGCCTTGCGTCCGAGAGTGAGGAATGACAATTGCTTATAACTCTTCAAAACACACATGCTTGCAAAAGAGATGCCTCGTGCAGAATCCGGGGGCACCCAAGCCCCTCCTAACCGGAGCAGAGGGCGCCTGAGTTAGCAGGACCCACGCCCCACAAGCGGGGGACGTGCCCGGCTTGGGCGAGGGTAAGGCTCCACCACCCGCAGGCTGCCCAGGTCGGAACTGTGCGCCCCCAGCGTTCGCGCTGCACTCCGGAGCTGGCCGCGTCTGTAATGTTTTCATGTTACACCTTTTAATGGTATTTAAATGTAAAGTGCTCTCTCAGTTCAGAAAGCCTCATCTTTGTGTTTTGCAACAATACGTATTTATAAGATGTATTGACGTCGTCTAAAGGCAATTTATTTAGAAATGTTAAAGTCTTTAAGAAAGGGAAAAAAATAAAAGCGGGCTCGTCCGGGATTTGAACCCGGGACCTCTCGCACCCTAAGCGAGAATCATACCCCTAGACCAACGAGCCGACGTGCTGCACTCTCGCCTCCATGACAAAGGAATGTGAAGCTACTTAGTCCCGCGCCCCCAAGCGGTTGTTTTTATAATGATGTTTATCTTTAGCTGTTCTCAATACTCTATAGTCGGTTTTCTATTTTATTTTCCCTTTTGATATTTGCAAATCAGTGACACAAAAGAAAACGGTGTCGTTGCTGGTGTACTATCTACCTCTTATATAAAAAAGACATAATTCTATGTATATTCGTGATTAACAAATTGTATGCGTGTGTGGCAGCCGGATTCCAGGCTCTACTGAGTTCTGGTTGTTGGAGTTTCCAGTAACAGCCAAATGGTCTGCTTCTAGCCCCTGTCTGTTATCATGGTGTTCAAAGCACCATCTTTCCAGCCTTGTGAATTCCCATCTCTGTTTTCACTCAAACTGTTCTCTTCAGCTGGAAAATCTCTTTTCATTTGCATAAGCCCCAAACTCTAACCTTTCCAGAAAGAAAAAAGATACTTTAACAGATTGAAACCAATTGTAGTGTCTCCTTTAATCACAATTTGCTGGAGGCTAAGACTCCAACCCCGACACTGAATTCTGTAATTAGCAACCAATTTTATAATTGGTTATAATTGGTGCCCAATTGTCCAATATCTTTAAGGCTTGGCTTACTTATTATATGTAAATTTTTAAAATAGTATTGAGGTTTATGCTAGCAAAGCCAGCACTCAATGAATAATTGCTGAATGACTGTAATTTGTTCCAAAATCATTAACAATGTAAATGTTGGTACTTGGACAATTGGTAATTATGAAGTGTCACTCTAGCAATAAGTAACCAGATAGAAAACAATAAATAGACCTATTCATTTATTTTATTTCAGATGACATTCATTTGTCAGCTTATTCATTTGTTCCCTGGCTCGTTTATTCAACAGACACTTAGAAGCTCTTCGTGCCAGACACCTTTCTCCCTGTGGTCTGACACCAGTAAATCACAGCGTGGAGCTCTACCCTTCAGCCCCGCCTGGTTTTATTTGAAACTGTCCTCTGCTTCCCTTCCTACTCTCTCCTTCTTCTTAGAACTCAAGGCAAAGAGGATAATAAATGCACTTTAAAATGTTAATTAGTTCTAGAGGTCCAAATAGTTTACTCCCCAAACCTAACAAATGTGCCCTGAAAACTTAAGTTTATATGTCCCCAGAATGAGGAAACTACAAAATAGAACTTACGTAAAATAATGTAACCACTTCAGGTTTCTGGAAACCCCAGTCTCAGTAGACATTAAAAGGGCTCTGTGCTCTCCTTTCCCACTTGAACTTACTAGAGTTGATTATCATTTTTTTCTTTTTTCTTTTTCTTCCTCCAACTTCTCTCTAGTGATTGAAAGAGAGTTTGCTTTTTACTCTGCAGGCTCCCCGAGAGGATCTCATTTGCCCCTCACAACAGAGATGCAGGAATACTGACAGCAACAAAACTCAAGATGTCCAGTGCCTGTCGTGGTGAGAAACCTCTCCTGGGTCGGAGGAATGCATGTGACCCCTGACCCCTGCAGGAGCATCCTTCCCCAGCGAGGGGATGTGGGACAGAGATGGTAACCGGGCACAGGCAGACAGGGTCTCCAGGCACAGCCAACAAGGAAGCCTGGTGACCTATCTCTCACGACAATGAGCCCCTCCCAAGGACCCCATGACTCTGGTGGCCCAGCGGTGCCTCTGTGCCCAGAGACATCAGAGCCAATAAAGCTCTTTCCGATTTCCAAACATTTTAAATAAAAATGCAACCCTTCTCCTGGATTCAGATGTTCTTTCTATAGCAATATCAATGAAACGGATTCAGCTTCAGGCAACCTTTGTCCGTGGGGTCTGGCATTCACCTTTTTCTTTTCTTTTTTCTTTATTAAGGTATTATATGTGTACATATTTTACCATTACTGGCATTCACCTTTAACTCTATCTGATCCAATCCTGTGTTCCAGGAGCCTCTGGTTATCACTGACCATGTGCCACAGCCACCCAGTTCTGTCAACAAACCTCAGAACACATGGGGGGAGGGAGTGCCGGTGAGAACACAGAGGGTGGAGAGGATTCCGCCACAGTCTCGAAGATCTGCTGGAAACCTGGGTGCCTGTCACCCTCTTCTACTGTCCCCATTCCAGCTCCAGAAAATCCTGCTCAGATGCATTCCTCAGCACCAGGTGACCCTGAGTGTCCCTTCTCTTATCTCAGGGAAGAGAAAGCAGAAGCCCGAGGTTCCCAAGGCAGACTCCTTCTCAGTGTGTACTAAGAGGGAGCAGGCAGCCAGTGAGACCACCGCCAGGCACAGGTAACTACCCACCAGCCAGAGGCCTCTGCCTGTGACAACAAGAATTGTTACTGATTCTGCGGGGAAACTCTCCCCAAGCAGCTCGTGCTTTCAGAGGTAGCCGCCCTTCAACAGGGACCTTTCTGACCTTGCTGGAGTCCTCCTCCCATCCCATGTGCGGCCCCCACTGCTTCAGCTGGAAAGAGGCGTGTCCCGGGCAGAGGAGGAGGTGTCTGAAGCAGGAGGGTTGTGGACGATCCTCAGACGAACAGTCATGAATGGAGTCAGGGGTTTTGGTTTTGTTTTTTCCATTTACTCCCTTGACAGAAGGGTCAGAAGCTACCCCGCAAGGAGAGCACAGTGAGAACACCTGGCCTGGCGTTCTGTCTCTGCAACCTCTCCAGACTGGCTCCGCCCACACTCACCTATCCCTCCGCCAAGCCGCCACTTTCTCCGCTGGCCGGGCATTGCTTATCGATGGCCGGGCATTGCTTATCGATGGCCGGGCATTGCTTATCGATGGCCTGGCATTGCTTATCGCGGAAGCCTGTGCTCCGGTGCACGCTTGCCTTCTGCCGCGGTCTGAGCTGACCTGCGGGGCCACCTGCGGGCCTGGCCCGGAGGCTCTGCCAGGGCCCAGCGCCTCGGTTTCTGCTCAGCCCAGGCCCGGGGTTTGGTCCTGGACACCGGGGAGCCGGGGGCGCCCTTCCCCACTCCTGCGGGGGAGCGGCCCAGCTTCTTCAATGCCCTTCTCTTGCGGCATCTCGCCACCCGCTGCATCCCGGTCCTGCCGCTCTTGCTGCACCGACTCCCCAATCTGTCCCTCTGCCTCCCGCCTGGGTTTCGCCCGCATCCTCCTCCCTGTGTCCCCCTTCCCCTCCGTCAGCCGTTCTGGGGGCCCCTCCGGGCACGCGGCCCGGGGACCGCGCTGGGCGGGCGGCGGGGAGTCCGGGGAGGAGCGTCCCCATCCCGCTCTCATTGACAAACGGAGGGGCGTTTTGTCGGCAAAAGGGACCCACACCCCAAGCACCTCCCTTTGTCTCCAGGTGGCGGGAGGGTCCCCGGTTCCCGGGCCCCCTCAGGCCGAAAGGGGCTCCCCAAGGGGAGTCAGCAAGATGGAGCTTCTCCAGCCCGCGACCCCTCCATGCAGCCGCTCAGGCATCGCCCAGGCCTCGAGGGGACCGGCCTGGGGCAAGGCAATGGGGGGGGGACCCTGAAGCGGGGTGTCTCCCGCCGCACCCCATTAACTTCGTCACCGAACTGCCGCTCCCTGGGTGAGGCTCACAGGAACCCACAGGGCTGGCCCGGAGGCCAAGGCCCCCGGAGGAGACAATGGGGACCGTGGACTGGGACCTGAGGGGCGGCGAGGACCCCGGCGGGGCCGGCGGCGGGGCGGCGGGCGGGCAGCCGCGGGCGGAGGGTGCGCGGTGCCGGCCTCCCCTCCGGGACGGGAGCCTGGGTGGGACCCCGGGGGCGCGGCCTCGCCTGACGAGAGGGGGTGATGGGCAGCCCGTGCTCCCCAATAGCGTCTTTCCCGCGGCGCGGAGCCGACCAATGAGCGGGCGGGTGGGCGGAGCCGGCCGGGCGGGCGGCGGTGGCGGGGCCGCGAGTGGGGGCGCGGCGCGGAGGTGCCCTGGGCGCGGCGGTGGCGAGGCGGCGCCCTGCGCGGAGCGGAGCGAAGGGCAGGCAGCCGGGCCCGGTGCGCGGCCGCGGGGCTGCAGCGGACGACGATGGCCGCGCCCGCGGGGGCCGGGGCGGAGACGGCGACCCTGGACCGCCGGCGCTGCCTGTGGTCGGTGCTGGCGGCGGCGCTCGGGCTGTGTGAGTGCGGCCGGGCGGGCGGGCGGGCCGCGGGGACGCGGGCTGCGCTCGCCCCTCGCGGGGAGCGGGCCCTGCGCGCCGGCGCCGGGGCGGGGGCCGGGCGCGGCCTGCGCGCGGGGCGGGAATCGGCCGGCGGGGAGCGTGGCCGCGGAGGCCGGGGGGTGCGGCGCCTCCCCCTCCTCCCGCCCCGGGTCCCCGCGTGTCGGGGCGGCGGGCGCCTACCTGCCGGGTCCCGGGGTCGCGGGAAGCGGCCCTGCTCCGCGCCGCCGCCGCCGAGCCCCCCGAGCGAGCGGTGGCCCGGGCGCCCGGGCCCGCCTGGGAGCCGGGTCGGGAGCCCGGGCTCTGGCTCCGCACCTTTGGGGAGCGGCAGGCTTCCCACCGCCGGGGCCTTTGTTGTCGGCTCCTTTTCGGGTTTTCAGAGGCGGTTTGCTTGGCTTTGTGCGTTTCCTTCCCGCTGCCCCGGCCCGTGTCCAGCCTCTGATGGAGGAGCCCAGGGCCCCGGGCTCACCTCCGGAGCCTGCGGGGCGCCGGGGGGAGATGCCAGGAGGGGTTCGGGGTGAGGATGCAGGGCCCCGGGCATGCCACTGAGGCGACCTGGCTGCGGAGACTGCTCAAATCCGTAGTCTTTGGTCCAATGGTGCCAGACGCCGTCACCCTAGTTTGACAAGACATGGGACATTTTTTAGTTTTAAGCACATTTTTCTTTTTTAAATCAAATGTTTTCCCTTGACAAATGTTATGGGTCAGACTTGGGGGAACCTCTGCCTCGGTGTGCAGATTGGATGGTGGTTTTGTGGGGTGACCTCCCGCTGCAGCGGCCAGAACTTGCTGCCGTCCCAGGATGTGCTTGAGTAATGGTGACAGAGGCCAGCTCCTAAGGAGCACACACTTTCATTTCTTTTGTTCAGCAAGAATGCCAGTTGCATCATAAATACGAATATCTGAATACTAGTTTACTCATTACTTTCTTTCACGAAAATTTTTTTTTTTAAAAAGTCCTTAACGTAATTGCCGGAACCAGGAAATACAGAATTAAAGCAATGATTCCAGGGGCCATAAAGTATAATTGTAAAAGCTCCCCCACCCTCTGGAGGCTGACGGATAAGATGCAATTCATTCTGTATAAATGATTTCTTCTGAGACAAAAAAAAAAAAAAAAGGTTAAAAGTGTGGTGTGTTTTTTTATGTTGTTTTGGGGGACTTTTGGGGGGTGGGGGTCGGTGATGGTGGTGTCATTTGTGTTTTAAGATAAGTAGGAAATAGCCTAAGTCTGAGGTTTATCAGAAATCTGTGTGCTTCAGGCAGAATTATGCATGAGAGGTCAGACATTGCTATAGAGGACAAGGCAGTGGGCTGATCTTTAACCCAGGGTGTTAAAAGTGGTGAAACTGAAAAATCAAAAACTTAATCTTAGTGGATATTAATACAAAAAGATCATCAGAGTAATAGCGACATACAGCTTGGCCATACCTAGCTGTTCAGTAATGAAAGATGCATGCTGGTATGGGAAAGTCAGCAGGTGTTGTTATTAGTTAATTTTAGAAAAATATGCTTTCTTCTTGCCTGATCATGGATACTGTATATAACAGTTCATGTCTGGTGGAAAACCTTGTTGAGCTCGACCCAGGTTCAGGTAGTCAACAAACATTCATTACGTGCCTTTTATGTATTAAGCACCAAAAGTATTGTAGGAAGCAGATTCCTGCCCAGCGGGAGAAGCAACGTAAGAAGTCTCTCGATAATGTGTGCTCTTAGGAGAGTCATCACTTCAGACGGAAGTTCAGGCCCGGGGAAAGGTGCGGGGAAGCTGAGTAGATATGAAAGAAACCTCCCTACCTCAGCCTGGAGTGCATAAGAGTTGGTGGGAGTAGGAGCAGGGCAGCCAGCCAGAGGCACTAACTCACAGAGGACCCTGCTGGCCATTCCTGAGGCTGGACTTTTGCCCTCATGTCTGTAGGAAGGAGGGCTTTCTCTGTCAGGTGTAAAGGCTGGGTCAGAGTGGGGTGAGGCTCACCAGAGGGTGGTTGTAATAATCCAGAGGAAGGTAAAGCCCTGAATGAAAGCAGCGGGATATGGGGAGAGGACATTTACATGAGCCAAGTAGAAAATAAAATTGATGGGGCTTGTGGATTTGATTTGCCGAGGACTTGGAAGAGGGAGCGTATGATAGTCCTAGGGTTTGGGGTTTGGGAAGCTGGGTGTATTTTTGGAAAACGGGGCTTTTCCCAGAGGAAGAATATGGGATGAGGGATGGGAATCTGGGAGTAATAAGATGACGGAGTTACTTTTGGATGCGTTGAGTTTAAGCTGCTGTGGAAACATCCCAATAGAAATGGGCAGGAGACAGCGGGAGGTGGTCCTGGGGGTGAGAACATTCTGGTTGGAAACACAGATGGGGGAGACTTGAAAACTGTGGTTTGCGCGGATGAGGTCACCAAGAGATAGTGTCCTGACGGAACTAGCAGGGGCCAAGGACAGAGCTAGCCCCCGGGAAGCGGGCTGGGTAGCTAAGAGAAGACCACGGGAGAGTGTGGTGTCTTGGAAACCAAGCGAGAATGGAGTTGCAGGGGAGAGCAAGTGGTCAATGTCAGATGAAGGGACCTGGGTACCGTAAGGGCACACTGGCTTTGGCGGTTGGAGCGTCTTCGGTAACCCTTGGGCGGGAATGAACACAGAAGAAAAAGAAATCTCAGTCATCTGTACCGCCCATTGCAGAATATGACAGCGCCATCTGTCTGGTTGCTCAAGCCAGAAACCTAGTCCATCCTTGATTCCTCCTTATCCTTCACCCTCCACATCCAGTCTGTTCTCCTGCCTCCAAAATGCACCAGGAATTCACCCACTCCTTTCTCATCAGTGGTCCACGCCTAGCATTTCAGTCAAAATCCCTGCCATTTTTACCTGTATTACTGTGCTAGTCTCCTAGCTGTGTCCAAAGACCTCCTCTTGCCTCTTAAAAAAAAAAAAATCCTCATCTAAGGATATGTTTATTGATGAGAGAGAGAGAGAGAGAGAGAGAGAGAGAGAGAGAGAGAGAGAGAGAGAGAGAGAGACACTCAGTTGCCTCCTGTATGAGAGAAAGAGACACTCAGTTGTCTTGTGTGTGTGTGTGTGTGTGTGTGTGAGAGAGAGAGAGAGAGAGACACTCAGTTGCCTCCTGTGTGTGTGTGTGTGTGTGTGTGAGAGAGAGAGAGAGAGAGAGAGAGAGAGAGAGAGAGAGAGAGAGAAAGAGAGAGAAAGAGAGAGAGAGAGAAACACTCAGTTGCCTCCTGTATGCATCCAGACCAGAGATCCAAACCACAGTCTAGGCACATGCCCTGAATGGGAATCAAACCTGAAACCTGCTGGTGTGCAGGATTCTGTTCTAACCAAGGAAGCACCTCCTCAGGACCCCTCTGACTCTTTTGAATCCATTCTTCACACAACCGCAAGAATTATTTTTATTAAAATGCAAATCAGATCATGTTGCTTTCTTATTTAAAATCCTTAAACAAGAAACCTCTTTCCATTGCACTGCCGCTACCATCCCCTCCCAGCTTTTCCGCGGGCCTGTGTTGGGCTGGTGGGCTGTGTGATCCGTTTCTGCCTCCCTTTCTGTCTTCGCCTGCTGCCTCTTGCCCCTTCCTGCCATCTTTCTGCTCTCTGACTCATTCCCACTTCCTCCTTCGCACTTGGCGTGCTCTTCCCCCAGAACTGCCCAGTTCTGCCTCCTCTGCATCTTTGGCATAAATGTTCCTTCTTCATGGGGACCTTCTCCAACCACCTCAGCCAGAAGAGTCCCCGGTGTCATTTCCTGGCCCCTTGCTTTCTTATTGTAATTTCTAACTCGTCGGTTTTTCTTTTCCTTTTCCCTCCACTAGAATCCAGGATGGACCCATGGTTGTCTTGTTCATAGAAGTATCTCTAGTGTTTGCTTCTTCACATGTATGATAGATGCTGATAAGTGCAGTGTTTGTTAAGTGGCAGGGGCTGTAGACTTGTCTTGGTAGCATTTTGTTAGCAGTTTGTAATATGGAGTTAGAATGATTGTCGGCACTCAATAATTGTTTATTGGGAGAAAGAGTATTTTTCCCAAGTGTGATTTCATGCATTATGTGATTATTTTCATTCTGTAACATTTCTTAGTTCTTCAGAGACTATAGAATGAACTAACATTCTCTAACTACTTTAGTCACCATAGCTTTGAAATGACTAGTTATTTCATAATTAAATTATTTTAATATATTTATTGATTTCAGAGAGGAAGGGATAAGGAGAGAGAGAGATAGAAACATCAGTGATGATAGAGAATCATTGATTTGCTGCCTCCTGCACGCCACCCACTGGGGGTCCAGCTTGCAACGCAGGCATGTGCCCTTGACTGGAATCCAACTTGGGAACCTGTGGTCTGCAGGCTGACGCTCTATCCACTGAGCCAAACCAGCTAGGGCTTAAATTATTTTATTATGTTTGTAGTAGCAACTAAGTGTTTTATCAGTAGGACTTTTCTATATTAAAAATATTTTATTTAATCATCACTGGAGGAGTGAGAATATTTTTCCATTGATTTTTGTTTATTGATTGATTTTATTGATTTTATTGATTATCGTATCACATAATTGTCTTCATCTCCCCATTCTCATTCCAAACCCCTCCCCAAATATGCCCCCACCCCCTTGTTGTCCATGTCCACTGGCTAGGCCCATATGCATGCACACAAGTCCTTTGGTTGATTTCTTCCTCTTACCCCCACCCTCCCTTACTTTCCCTCTGAGGTTTGAGAGTCTGATCGCTGCTTCTCTTTCTCTGGGTCTGTTTTTGTTCATCAGTTTATGTTCATTATTTCCTCTAGATGCATGAGATCTTGTGATCCAAGAAATACTCTTGTAAGAACCGAAACTGAAACAAGCCATAATGGTTATGCTTAGAGGCCAATGAATCAGTCTGTAGTGAGTTCCTTTCTGGGCCAACAGTTCTTTTGAGTCCCAATTTCAATGTCAAACAGTTCTTTCCATTGATTT